TATGTGTATATATGTGTGTGTGTATATATATATATATATATATATATATATATATATATATATATAATATTTTGATTGTTGAAACTAAGGTATAGGAATAAAGAACTAATATCTCAAAAATGTATCAAAAACATAGAAGACTTCACAGTATATATAGCTTAGTGACTCTTAGGTAAATTGTGCTTTTAAATAAAAAATTGTCTAATATATTATATACTATGATTTTTATGCCTAGAACTATGTAGTAAGGCATAATGTTATCATGGACATCATGGTATTGTATGCACATGAAATAACTACATGGAATTAATAGCTCTTCAAGTGGTAAATCTAACGTTCAAGGACCATCTCTTAAGAAAATCTGGATCAGAATAATGCATTTTAAATATTGTTAATCCCTACTTCTGGGATTTTTTAAAACTGTGTTGCTATGGAGCTGCAAAAGCTTTAGTCTTCTTGTAAGACCCAGTTTATTTAAGGAGAACTATTATAGTAAAGGGTCATAGTATGTAACTGGATGCTCTGTAAAATAACTGAGTTTCAAACCAGGTAGCATGAAATTACTCCCCTGTGAATTATATTCTTCACTCCAGGGTAGATCATTAAACATAGAAATGTATTACTGTTTGTGTGGCCAGGGCCTTAAAAAATCTAGTTTCACAAGTTATAACAAGTCACATATAGGTGATTAAAATTGAGTGCTATTTGCCAGTCATTTAACCATGTAGGATTGCTTATAGTACACCTAGTTTAGGAAGAAATGGTTCTATAATTTACCAAAGGATATTGGGAAATATATAGAAATTTCAAGTGTTGTGTTTGTTCTGTTGCAGGTGGAAGTGCTGGATCAGTAAATGCTAATTTTGCTCATTTTGATAACTTCCCCAAATCCTCCAGTGCTGATTTTGGAACCTTCAATACTTCCCAGAGTCATCAAACATCATCAGCTGTTAGTAAAGTTTCAACAAACAAAGCTGGTTTACAGACAACAGACAAATATGCTGCACTTGCTAATTTAGACAATATCTTCAGTTCTGGGCAAGGTATCAAGCTTTAAACAAGTCCACAGATTTTTATATTAAACTATACTCTGAATGTGGTTGTACAGTATTTATTAAAATCTGAGAATGTTATACTTTCCTTAGCTGTGTAGAAATTTGTCTACACTAAGCATTTTGAGTATAATATTTACTTGGCACATTTTGGGCTTGAAATATCAGCTGCAAAACTAAACACAAACTAATTTGTAAACTTCTAGTTTTAAAAGGAAATGATTGACAAAAGCTTTGTCATCCAAAGCATGCTTTAATACTCTGGCCATGAAGCGCCAAGAAATTCCATTAACACCTTCCTGGAAAATTATTTGGTGATTCTTTAATATGTTCATCTTTAATCATTTATTTTATTAACATCTTGGTATTTATTTTTTTTTTCTTAAAACCTTCCATGATTTTTACAGTTTTATACCCTGCTATATTGTTAAGGCCAGTATAGTATGTTGCCTCTCTGGTGTGTGCAGTGTAGTAGTGAACAGCGGTGTAGTGCTACACTGGTTCTTTCTCCTGATCTGCAGTACTAGTTTTCTCATCTCCAAAATGAGGAGAATAATAGGATTGAATTCAAGGAGCTGTGTTCTGAATATTATCATCAACGTATATAAGTATTTAAAACAATGCCTAGAACTTAGTAGGTCCTTAGTGAATATTTTCTGTTATTACTGTCTCTAACCTGTTTCAGGGATAACCCTGGGGACTATGTTAGTGCAAATAGACTGTTCATATTAGGTTCAGCATTTCGTTAGTTTGTATGTATATTCACTTGAATGAGATCCATCCATTTAGAGATTTTAATGTATCATCTATCCGTATTATTGATACAGGTCTTAGTTTGTTACAGAAAGAGTATTCTGGGCTAGCTGGTGGTGAGGTGGTTAAGGTAACTAGATTCACATGGCCAACTGTGCGGCTGAGTTCCAGGTCTGGTGGCTTAAAAACCACACTGGCTGTGTGCACATGCCTGTCCAAACTCCTGAGAGACTGGAGGAGATTGTGCTGTGGCCATCCCCCTTGGTTGATTTCTTTTCTCTCTCTCTCTCTCTCTCTCTCTCTCTCTGGCTCTCTGGCGAGTGCATGTGCCCTATAGCAAAACAGAGAGAGAGAGAGAAAGAAAAAATAAACCATTCTGTCTTTACCACAGACATTGGTATGTACAGCAACTAATCTTGTCCAGAATTATCTATAATATATTACTTAATAGATTAAGATCCCTGATTCATGCCCTTTTATTTGTTTAGGTCCAAATTAGTTTTAGGTTTACCCATAGTTCAGTGGCAGATTTACTTGTTAAAAGTATAACTTAACATTTTTGGTGTTAATTTGCTTTTGTTCATTCCCAGGTGGTGATCAAGGGAGTGGCTTTGGGACCACAGGTAAAGCTCCTGTTGGTTCTGTGGTTTCAGTTCCCAGTCAGTCAAGTGCATCTTCCGACAAGTATGCAGCCCTGGCAGAACTAGACAGCGTTTTCAGTTCCGCCGCCACCTCCAGTAACGCATATACATCCACAAGTAATGCTAGCAGGTACCTTGTTTTAGTGTTCCTGTTTTGTGTTTTAACGTTTCATTTGTATAGTAGTGTGATTACATAATTACCGTTTTGGAGTATAATTTTAAAATACTTGAGTATTTTTGTAAATGTAAGGAAGTTGAGTTTAATTTGCTAATTAAAACATAATCAGGGCCAGCAGGTGGCATGGTGGCTTGGTGGTTTAGGGCTCTGGACTCCCACGTGACCAACTGTGGTTTCAAGTTCTGGACCTAGTGGCTTGCTTTCCCACTTTACCTCCCTCCCACTCTCCCTCTCTCTTTCACTCTGTCCCACTCTGGTCAAATTAGAAAGAAAGAAAGAAAGAGAGAGAGAGAGAAAGGAAGAAAGAAAAAATAATTCTTTAAAAAAACATAATCCTTGGATAATTACAATAACCTTATCTTTTCATTGAATCAGATTTTGTTACTCTTCATCCTTTAACAGTAAATACAATTGATAGTATGTATATGTCTCAAAATGAATAGTTATGTGTAGATTGTACTCAGCAGTGAATACATTTAGCAATCCGATTATATAGTTGGAAGGTTCAGTTTTCAGTCATGAATACTAAATAGTGAAAGTACCATGTTGTAGCTGTAGTTGTAAATACACATTCTGAGAAATGTTTGCACAAAGCCCAGCATCAATTCTGTCACTCTTCAGTGTCTTATTGGTTTTTATAAATAGGCACATCTGCTACTGTGTTCAGATTTATCTGTTATAAAGGAATTCTTGGTAGCAGGAAGTCTAACACATTTTAAAGACGTCAGACTTCTATAAACTTTTCTATTGTTTAGTTCTTCATTTTAGAGTAAGAAAATAGACCTGTAAGTACAAGTGATTTTACCTCTACAGTATTATTTTGTTTTGTTTTTATGGCCAGAGGATACTTGTACTGACCAGAGAGAGAGCAAGCGAGAGAGAAGTACCTCCCCAATGCGGTGTGGTCACATCACATCCCTTCTCTGTTCTGTTGGGATTTGGTACATGCACAGACATACTACTGGCATGTTTCTCAAGCCACTGGGCCAGGATTTGAACAGTGGTTGGCTGCGTAGGATCTGGCTTCTTACATTAGGCTATGAGACTGTCCATATAAATGGACAGTGTTTTTTAAATTTATCTCCTGTATTCCATTTCTGTGGATTGCATTTACTTTTTTTGTTATCATAGTAGCTTATTTCGCCTTAGCACTTTTTGTAGAGAAAAATGATATCACTAATTAGTTGCGTGCACTGAGAAATTATTTTCTGTACACCAGATTTGAAAAATTGAATCCAGAGAGGAAAGCATTTAGGGTTGAGTACATATTTTTTCTTTATTAATATTAACTTTTGACATCTAATAGTGGACTATAAAATGATGGCCATAAAGGTCTAGAAACAAAGACAGGTTTTTCCTAACTTGTTGCATTGCTGTTACAGTGTATTATATCAGTGATTTTGCACAGTGTGTCAGTGTAATGTTTAGGATCCTGAAGACCCAAAATTTCAGGGGTCTGAGGTTACAGCAGTTTTTGTAATAATTCTGAGGTTACATGCTGTTTCACTAATTGACGTTCATATTGATGGTACAAAATAATAGTATGTTAAACTTGCTCATTTGGCTAGCTTGGCATGAATTAAGATAGAACACCAAACTGTACTAGTGATTATCTAATAGTCACTTTGTTCTTCACCAGGACACATTCAGTTTATTTCTGAATATTCTTGATTCAGGTTTTCTTAGGAATATTCTTAAAGAAGCAGTAACAATTATTTCATTGAGTCTTTCCTTTTAAATATGTCTTCTTAGTGTTCTGTGTGTTAAAGTAGAAAGTAAAAGTAAGATGTGCACACCACGCAGTTCGCGTATTGAACCGTGTCAAGGGAAATTGCTTTCTTGGTTGCTGAGTAGTATGAACCACTTTATGGAGCACCATTTTCCTTGCACATGTGACTTGATTGACTAACCATGGCTATTCAGATTCTGGTATTTTCTAAAAAATGAACTAGTTAAGTCTGTCACTTTAAAGAAAACAGTTTATAAAGTTCACACAGACTTTTTATTCATTTTATTAGAATTTTAGAGAATTTATGGATCCACCATGAGCTTGATAACTTCTCATATTTTTCTGATGAAATGGCAATATTAGTGAATTTGTTGCTGTCTTCATTGCTATGCCACTGTTTATCCCGATAGAATATCCTCAGTTATCTGAAAAGACTGTTAAAAAAATATGTGCGAGGCCACTTTTTTTTCATATACATCAACAAAAACAAATCACAACATACTGATCTTCTAATTTAGCCATTAAAAGGACCTGCAAAAATACAAAACAGTGGTGTTTTTCTCATTAAGTTTGTTTTGAAAATACAGTTCCTTATTATAATAATGCTATTGATGTTATCTGGCTCTAATTTTTGTGAATAAAATTTTTTTAATTCACAAGTTTTGTGTGATACAGATTGATAAATGTAGATAATATATAATAGGCTATATAAACAATTCATTTGTTATTGAGGTTACAGTTTTTTTGGAAAATAAACACATCCTGAGACTTAAAGTTTGCGAACTGCTGTGATACTTGACATATGCAGTATTATCTGTTTCCGTATTTTATGGCTACCCTGTAGATAGATTACCCTTATCTGTTTTTTCAATTAAGTATGAACTTTGAATATTCGTTTCAGCAATGTTTTTGGAACAGTGCCAGTGGGTGCTTCTGCACAGACACAGCCTGCGTCTTCAAGTGTGCCTGCTCCATTTGGAGGTATGTGCTCTGGCATGTATACTGGCTTTTTTGTAAAGAGCCCAAATATTTATGGTGTAGAATTTTCTTAGGGGATCAAAGATGTTCAGAGCAATGATTTACTACCAGAAAGTTTGAGTTTTCTATCTTGATAAGTATTGTGAATAAATTTGTAAATCTTGAATGCAAAGTACATTAGAATTTTATAGTGTGTTTTGTGAATTTTTTAAAGCTACGCCTTCCACAAACCCATTTGTTGCTGCTGCTGGTCCTTCCGTGGCATCTTCTACAAATCCATTTCAGACCAATGCCAGAGGAGCAACAGGTAAGGAAAAAAGACAGATTGTGGAACAAGCTTTGGGAGTAATATTTTTCAAAGATTCCATGCGAAAACAAGAAAATGGAGCCTCTTTCTTACTGAAATAAATGGGAAGTGAGTAAAAGAATTTGTCAGTAAAGATGAATACTAGTGGGACCAGCAGATTGCATAATGGTTACGTTGCTGGACTCCTACGTAGTTGATAAAGGTTTGAGTCCTGGACCTGGTGACTTAAATTCACACTGGATGCATGTGCAAATGTGCTTAAGGTCCCAAGAGGAGAATGGAGGAGAAGGGATTACAGTGTGGCCATCCCCTGTTGGGGGCTGATTTCTCACTTTCTGTCTCTCTTGTGTGGTGAGTGCATGCACCCTATATCTATATCAAAAATATCTTTTTAGGGACCAGGAGTTTGCATAATGGCTATGTCGCTTGACTCCCATGTAGTCGACCCGGTTCAAGTCCTGGGCCCGGTGGCTTAAACTCAAGCCGGGCGTGTGTGCATGCGTGCCCAAGATCCTGAGAGGAGAATGGAGGAGAAGGGATTACAGTGTGGACATCCCCTGTAGGGGGGTGATTTCTCACTTTCTCTCTTGTCTCTCTGTCTTTTTGGTGAGCACACGCACCCTATAGCAAAAACCTCTCCAAGAAATATAAAAACAAACTTAAAAAAACGTTGAATGCTAGCTGGAAGATTATGAAATCTTAGAATTTAACAATTGAGAACAACCTTAGAAATTATCATTATTTAGCGCTCACCCTCCCATTTCAAAACTTTCATTTTTCACGTAGGGAAGCCCAGATAGAGAGATGAGACAACCTTAGAATCATGTAGCTAATTTATGAAGAGATGGGACCTGAACTTACTTGGTGGTCTGGTTTCAGAATTACTAGATATAACTCATTTAATCTCAGAACAGTTTTATGAGAAGTTTGCTTTATCCCACATGAGATTGCGTCCAGATCAATGGAATTGGTTACATGAGTTCATGATGATTAGGGTTTTTTATACAGCATATCTATTTTAGGGTAGTAACACTTTTTAAATCATGGGAACCTGATTTAATTTTGGGTCTAATATTTAAATATTTTGTCTCTTGGTTTTCCTTTTTCCCCTCTTATTTCTCTTTGTCATAAGCCAGTCACGTCTTTCTCATATTGTACCTCTTTGATTTTTGTCTCATTACCCTGAACACCAGAGCTATTTGCCATCACTTTGGAGTGTCAGCAAATACATTTGGTATGGCTGGATATCCATTAAATCTAGAGCTTGTAAGCTTTGTTTTTGTGTGTATGTCCTGATAATTTTATAACTGAAACCTAAGCTCCAGTTATCAAATGTTTATAAGAAATCTTGTGAGGGTAGCTACTAGTAATGCTACAATTAAACTATTAAGAATTGGTAATTGTTGGGACCAGCAGGTACTGAAGTCATTAAGGCTCTGAGCTCCCACATTGCTGACCACAGTTCAAGTTCCAGACCCAGCAGCCTGAAAATCATGCCAGGCATGTGTGCGTGCATGACCAAAATCCTGAGAGGAGAATGGAGAAGGGTTGTAGTGTGGCTGTCCCCTAAAAGGGGAGTTATTTCTCACTTCCTCCTCTGCGTCACCCTCCCGATCCCTTGGCCAAGTGCACACACCCTATGGTAATAATCTTAAAAAAAAAAAAAAAAAGGAATTGTTAGTAAATCTCTATCATTGGCAAAATTAAGAGTTGTTAATTTTGCCTTTTTATATAAGTGCCTTCAGTCATAATTTGTTGGTGTCTGGCATAACAGATGTTTAATAAGTACTTGAATTTCACACCAAATTTATTTTTTAATGATTTGTTTTAATTCAAGTACACCTAATCAATGCTTGTTTTAAATTCTGTTGTACTTTGGTTGTTGATTGTTAATTCAAGTATACCTAATCAGTAGTTGTCTTTAAATTTTGCTTGTACTATTCCTTTGTCAGCCATGATATATGCGATGTTTCCTGTTTCTTAGCATATTGTTTAGATTTGTGGAATGAATTAGCAAAACGTCTCATGACATAAGATTTTTATATGTTGTCTCATTTAATTATTTCAACTGTCAAATGTCTTCAGCACTGTGTAACAGCTCTGAGGGCACTATGACTCAGAAAAATTAAATTGAAAAAAAGAAAAGTTCAATCATACGTTTTGAGTATAATACAGTCAAACTTGTGTTCCTATCTTGATTCAGTATTTTCTTGCTGGGTGATCCTAAGAAAGCTTTTTGTATCTTGTTATTTTAATAACTGTGGTTAGGATGATAATGGGATATACTAACGTTTGTTGAATTCAAAGTTTGAAAGATACCATTGAGATAGTTATAAACTTCATAATCACATTTAACAATAGATTAAATTATATTTTGACTTACGTAATTGCATTGACCTAACTTTTCTGAGCCTCATTGTAATCCTTATCTATAGAATGTGAGTATTTTCCGATTAGCAAGGTTGTTGTGCTCTTCAATGATGTAGCCCCAAGTGGTCTATGTTTTACACCATATATATAGTAAATCATGCCTATGATTTTCCTCACATGACTGTACGTTTTGAGTTGCTTTTATCATTAGTTAAAGGTAATTTTTCGTTTATTTTATTTAGCATATGAAAGACTTTGGATATAAACTAATTTAAAATGTCCATTGTATGTTCAGATGATTAAAAATAATTTTAATATTAGCTTATGCAAAATTTATTACAAAAGTAAATCTGTATTCACAGATTTTTTTAGTTCAGGGTACAATATTTTTTCCACTATAAGCCCTTTTTTTCTTTTTTTTTTTTTTAAATTTCTTAAAGGTTTTTGCCATAAGGTGAGTGCACTCATGGGAGAAGGAAGGTGAGAAATCACTCTTCCAGGGGATAGCCGTACTGCAGTCTCTTCTCCATGCTCCTGGGATCTTGGGCACATATACACACCTGCTGGGCATGATCTTCGAGCCTCTGGGTCTGGGATTTAAATCACCGTTGGTCATGTGGAGTCTAGCACCTTAACCACCACGCCATCTGCTGGTCCCACCATTATAAGCCATTTTTAATAAACCGTATTGATCACCTTTTCAAGTAGTTATATATATATTTTTTTTATTGGCAGGGGACTTGCATGCACATGTGCATGAGAAAGAAAAGGGATGGGAAAGAGGAAGAGAAAGTACCTCCCCAGTGGGGAGTGGTCATGCTTTGGTCCTTTTCCCCTCCATTTTTCCATACTGTCAGAATTCTGTCAATACTCAGTGCATTTATCAAGCTGCTAGGGCCTGGGATGAGCCATGTGGGATCTGGCTCCTTATGCAACAGCATTTAACCACTGTGCTGTGGGTCAAGCCCTACTAAGTTATTATTGAACCAATTGAATCAAAGTGAATGTTAATTGCCTGTGTTTATATTGAAGCTGAAATAGAAATAATACTTTGACAAATACACTCTGCTTAGAAATTTCCAATTAACTGCAGCCAAAATTAATACTAATTTTGGGGGAACTATTTTGCACTCAAATATGTTAATATTGTGAAATTATATTTTGAAGTAGCTTTTGATAAAAGCACATTGCATAATAGTTCACTGTGAAATTTGAGAAGTTTTACTGATGTATTTTATTCTTTTTTATTTTTTTAGATGTTTTTGCTATAGGGCATGTGCGCTCTCCCGAAAGACAGAGAGAGACAGAAAGCAAGAAATTGCCCCCCACCCCCGCCTCCGCCCCGGGATGGCCATGCCACAATCCCTTTTCCTCCGTTCTCCTCTCGGGATCTTGGGCGCACATGCGCCCGACGTGAGTTTTAGCCACCGGGTTTGGGACTTGAGCCGTGGTCAACTACATGGGAATCCAGTGACATAGCCATTATGCCAACTGCTGGTCCCAGATGTATTTTATTCTTAAAATACATATTTTAATTTTTTTCTGGATTTATAAAGCTTCAGGCTTTAACTTTCTTTTACTATTTTACATAGAGACCTTCATTAGGAGATTAGCATCTATGTTCTAAGATGTCTTTAATTTTAAAATTCTGATATATAGCAGCCATTATGCCAACTGCTGGTCCCAGATGTATTTTATTCTTAAAATACATATTTTAATTTTTTTCTGGATTTATAAAGCTTCAGGCTTTAACTTTCTTTTACTATTTTACATAGAGACCTTCATTAGGAGATTAGCATCTATGTTCTAAGATGTCTTTAATTTTAAAATTCTGATATATAGCATACTCTCCCCTTTCCCTGGGCATTTAAATGCAATGAATAGAATTTAAAATAATTTTTAAATTGTTAGGAAATTCTCTTACAACTCCTAGATCTTTCTTTGGCCACCAAATAGTCTTTATTTTGCAGCATTTATTTTAATGAATGAATAAATGAATGAACAAAGGATTTCTTTAAGATTTTTTTTCTTTTCAAGGGACTATACTTAACATGCCTGTGTGAGCTGAAAGATTTCACAGATAGTGTCTAGTTCCTACCATATCCTTGTTTATTACCTAGGTGGAAACTGATTTTCAAGATATGTTAATGGAGGTTTGCCTTGGGGATTCAAAATTAAATAATGAGTAGTCCAGTTAGTGCGCAGAATCCTTTTAAACCAGCATTATTTTCATTCTAGTACAGTTGCTTTTATATTGGGTTATTGGAAAAGTCATGGCATGTTTTTCTATAAAAATAGGCATCATGACTTTTCGATGACCCAGTAATTCAGTTTTACATTGATGAAAATGCACAGATCAGCTTTATGTACTGTACCCTGTATACGTCTAAAATTCAGTAGATCTGTCTCACCTGTTCAGTTACTCTGGATGATAGGATTTCTGGAAATTAGAATTAATTTAAAAAAGAGATGGTGTAGGTAAGGAAAGGGAAAGAAATAGTTATATGAGACACTGAGGACATGTTTTGTTTATAGAGCAGCAGGTTTATTTACTCAGTACTCTTTCCATCAATTCACACCTAATATTTGGACATTTCTAACATTTACTATTCTGCAGTTGATACTTTTAGCAGCCAAAAGTGGAAATTGTCAATTTGGTAATAAAGAGACAGGAAAGTTGTAAAAATTAACATTACACAAATTTAAATTTAAAGAAAAAATTTTAACATTTTAGTAGTCTGGAGAAAATATTTGTAAATCATATATCTGAAAAAGGACTTGGATTCTGAATATGTAAAGAATTCTTACAACTTAGTAATACAAAACAACTCAAAAAAGTTTTGAACAGAGATTTTTTCCAAGAAGTGTGTACAGATTTTGGTGTGTACAGATGTTCAATAACCACATGAAAAGATGTTTAACATCATTAATCATTAGGGAAATGTAAAGTAAAACCACCATGATATACCACTTCACATCTACTAACATGGCTGTAATATAAATAAATAGATAATAACAAGCTTTAGTTATGTTGTGGAGAAATTAGAAACCTCATATGTTGTTTGTGGGAATGTAAAATAATACAATCTCTTTAGAGCAGTTCCTTTAAAAGGTCTGGGTAGTATTCCCATCTGACCCAGCAGTTCTACTGTAAGCAGCATACCCAAGAGGAGTCATAGTATACAACCACACAAAAACTCATGCACACACATTCATGGTAGCAGTATTCCTAATAGCACAGAAGTAGAGACAGCCCAAATGTCCATCAGTTGAGCTGAACAAAGATACAATGAAATCTTACTTAATAATAAAAAGTAGTAAGATACTGATCAGCTATAATGTGGGTGAACCTTGAAAACAGAATGCTAAGGTAAACAAAGCTAGTCACAAAATATCACATGTTTTCATTCCATTTATATGAAGTGGCCAGAATAGACAAAACTTCAAAAAGTTTGGAAAATGAAATTAAGTACAAGTTTGTTTTGGTACAAAAATATTTGGCATTCATGAAGTTTATCATACTTTGCATTTCCATTACTTTTTGCAGACCCCTCATGGATTATAAAGTATTGAACTCTAAACCTTAGATAACTGATCCCCACCCTGTTTGGCACCAGGCACTCATTATGTGAAAGACAAATTTTCCATGATGATGTGTGGGGGATGGTCTCAATCCAAGCCCATTACATTTGCTGTGCACTTCATTTCTGTTGTTACTATATTGTAATATATAATAAAATAATTACACAACTCACCATGATGCAGTATTTGCAGCTGCTCCCTAACACGAGCATCATTGCCTCAGCTCCACCTGAGATCATCAGGCTTTAGATTGTCCTACGGAGCACACCGCCTGGTCCTTGTAGGTACTGTTCACAGTAGGGTTTGTGCTTCTTTGAGGGTCTAATGCCACTGCTGGAAGAGGAGCTCAGGGTGTACTTAAGCAATAGGGAGGGGCTGTAAATACAAAGAAGCTTTGCTTGCCCATCCACCACTTCTCTTGTTGTGTAGCCTAGTTCCTAATAGGCCACAAACCAGGGCTGTGGTCTATAGGTGGGAGGATCCTTGTTTTAGAAGGATGGATTATGTGGTCTATGAATTACATCTCAAAAAGCTATTAAAAATAGACTAAAAATATTTTATAACTGTTTGGAAACTGGAGTTTGGGAGGAGGGGAGTCTTTGCTACAGATTGAAGTATAGTGATTAATTTGAATGAATAGTCATTGTGGGGAACAGCCAGAGAGATACACATGAAAATGCTGGACTCCCAAATGGCTGACAGCAGTTTCAGTCCCGGACCTGGTGGCTTCAGACTCATGTGCATGCGTGCCCAAAATCCCAAGAGGAGAGTGCCCAAAATCCCAAGAGGAGAGTGGAGGCTAAGGAGTGTAGTGTGGCCGTCCCCCTGGGTGGGGGAGAGGGGTGTGACTTTTCGCTTTCTGTCCCTCCAGTGAGCGCATGTGCCCTACAGAAAAAAAAAAAATTCTCTTAAAAAAGGAATAGTCACTGGATGCACGTTAATATTTTGAGGAGCATGTCCCCTGAGATATTAACAGTATTCCATGGAAAGGGAGTCTTAATACATATAGGAAATACATATATAAGTGTCTTAATACATATAGGAAATGCTGAGGCAAACACAATGTAAATACTGTAATTATCATTTAGAGTGTGTGTATTTCATGAGAGAGATAAATAAAAACAGATAGCCCTTGGGAGGGTCTCACCATGCAGTCCTCTCCCTAGCTGTTCAGCCAGCCAAGATCGCAGAGTACAGGGGTGCATGGGTACACCTGACATGTTCAGGTCACCTTGACATCCAACCTTGGGTGTGCCGTGTGGCTCCATCGTCACGTTGCAGTGTCCTACCGACTAAACCACTACAGATAGGCCTTCACTGGTATTAATACAGGACTTCACAGATCCTTTCAAGTGTTCCAAGGAAGGAGATCATAGAACCCTTCTCACAGTTAACCTTTTATTGAATTCAGAATGTAGTATAAAAACCATCCTTTTAAGTTACTAAGAAAATTGCATTAGTCAAATGTGTATATTTAGCACTTTAATATATTGTTACATTCAGTGTTCACAGCTGCTGTGTGAAGTAGATAGTAGTATTCCTGCCCTTTCATTCTCCCATTTGCAAATGAAGAAACTGAGGCTTAAAGACATTAAATAACATCATGCTGCTATACAGTGAGAAAACTAGTACTTAGAACTGGTCTGTCTTTTAATCACTGTTTCCCTAAGTTTATGCTGATTTAAAAAGGATTGTAATTTAAAATACATGAAATATATTTTAGAAACAGTCCCACTCCAGAACGTTAAAACAAATAAAGGTAGTTCTATAACAACCTGTTTCTCTTCTGTTAATTACGTATTCTTAGATGTAACCCCATATGTCCTCAGACATACCAGGTAAGTAAGATCTAGACAAAGTACCTTTTTCCTCTGCTTTTTAAAGGTGAAAGTACCACTCACCTTTCTAACAAATGATATTTAAGGTTTTTTCCCCTTGTAACATTTAATTATTTCACGTTATCTATGTATTGTAAGTGTGCTAAGTTGTAAATAGACAATCTAGCATTGTACAGATGCTCTATCCAGGACTTGAACTTTTAGATGCTAAATGTGGAAGAAAGATCATTTTAGGTGATCCTGTGTTTATGCTGATTTAAAAAGGATTGTAATTTAAAATACATGAAATATATTTTAGAAACAGTCCCACTCCAGAACGTTAAAACAAATAAAGGTAGTTCTATAACAACCTGTTTCTCTTCTGTTAATTACGTATTCTTAGATGTAACCCCATATGTCCTCAGACATACCAGGTAAGTAAGATCTAGACAAAGTACCTTTTTCCTCTGCTTTTTAAAGGTGAAAGTACCACTCACCTTTCTAACAAATGATATTTAAGGTTTTTTCCCCTTGTAACATTTAATTATTTCACGTTATCTATGTATTGTAAGTGTGCTAAGTTGTAAATAGACAATCTAGCATTGTACAGATGCTCTATCCAGGACTTGAACTTTTAGATGCTAAATGTGGAAGAAAGATCATTTTAGGTGATCCTGTGTGTATTTATTTTTGGGTGTAACTCAAGATACCTACAGTGCCTTCTTTTGGATATAGTTGTGTTTTCACATGAAAAAGTGCTTATTTTAAAAAATAGATTTCATCACTGTTTCTTCATTTGATATTTTTTACTTTAATCTTCCCTTTATTTTAAACGGTATAAATGTTAGTGTCATGAATATAGATGAAATAAAAAGCTTATTTTGTAAGATTTTTTTATTGTGTGTTATGCTACCCACTTGACAACAGTATCGTCCAGTTTTAGAACTTTTTAATTAATAAGTTTACTTTTATCTTAATAATAGTTATCCATAAATTAATTGATATTGGTCTCTTTATGGCTTTCCATAAGGCCTTTCTGGAGCAATGCATTCTCAAGTGTTTCCTCACGCTCATTTTGGTAGGTGGCCACAACTAATACCTAGATTTGTGTGGCAATTTGTCTACCTGCTTGTGGAAGCTTCTGCTAGTGTTCTGACTCCTGCATGTGGAATTAAGTTTTTTCCATGTTTTAAAACTGAGTGGGCATGGATGTGTGGCATTGGGCTTACTTTGTATTTACAGTTAACAATTTCTAGTAGTGATTTATATTTTAATGCTGAAAAGCATTATCGCTTACCTCCATGGTCACATTAGAATGTTGATAGCTATTTTGATTCTTTTTTTCTTGAGTTTGAATTCATAGTAATTTGATGCTTTTTTGATATACAAAACTATGTACCACATTAGTCCAGAGTTTGGTTTTGCTTAACTATATTCAAGTTCTGCTTCTTAGTGCTTTCTTAAAAAGTGATGTGTCAAAGTTGATGTCAGTGCATTGTTGTCTGCTATGAAGTCCTCATGTTTCCCTTGCAATGTGCTGCTTATTCTTTAATTCACTTGCTTCCCCAGTGGCCTTTTTCTCCTTTTATTCTCATCAATAATAAAAAAGTCATTTAAAACTTCGATATGTTAATTAGGTTAATTGAGCAAAATGTTATGTTACAAACAACAGATCTACAAGGATTACTTTGGGAAACATCTACAGCTTATTTTTGTTTTTAATAAAAGACATATTATACTTAACATTTTTAATACTTAATTCCTGTGTCTTAAATCATGATCAAGTTGGTAAACTTTTAAAAATTGGGAAATTCAGTCGTGGTTTTTAAATAACATCATGATAAAAATATTTTGTTATGTAATTACTAGTAGTCTACATTTAAAGGAATATTATTGTCTCTTATTTCACTGAGACCCTTCCTAGAAAATGTATTTGGAAGATTCTGTTTTTAATATTCACTAACAGTAGCTTACGTCCTGTTCTGCAATTGCATGTGTTTCTGTAATGCCCATTAGTTCAATAGTCATTGGTAAACGGGAATGTGGCAGCATGCTGTGCGTGTAGCATTGCTTCACCCACACATTTCCCCTAACCTGTTAATACTCTGTCCTCCAAGTAATCACTGATAGTTGTGGCCAGCCATGGAGGGTATAGTGGTGGTGAACACGATGTCCATTTGCCCTGCATTCTTTGTAATTCTAAGAATGCTTACTTCACTTCTATTTCTGTCTTTGTGCATTTCATATTATTTTCTAAAGCTCAGCAGTCCTGACCTGCCTACAACCCTCTTCCAAAACTATCGTTATTTACCTTTCAAAAAAGGGTAGAAGTTCATTTATGTTTTTACAATTATTAATAATTTATAAGAAACTTGTTAATTATATTAGTGTTTTCAGTAACATCATTTTTCTGGCTCTGGTTAAAAGCTGCTTATGTTCTGAGTAGTCTGCCTTTAACCCTGTTTGTCTTGTAAGCCCTTTTATATTTAGTGAACTATTTTGCAGAGGCTTTTAAATCTTTATTCAGGAACGCATACATTAATGCCAAGTTGTAGCAGACGCTTCACTAGGTAAAACTAAAATTTTGGCTGTTCTTTAATGACAAAACAAACCTAAGCACAAAAATATTTACTAGTATTTATATGAATTGCATGGTGATTGGCTTTTAGAAGCAGACTAGTGTTTAGACTTCAAATTACTTTGAAACATTTTCTTGGAATTTCAAATGCCTGCTGTAGTAGTGTCCTTCTAGCTAGTGGGCTTCTGTAGAAAATAGTTTCATAGGCTATGTTAAATTGTACAACACTAAAACTCATCATTACTGTTATATTTTGGAAATGAAAGTGTTTTTAATGTACATCTTAATATTTTTTAAGGTAAATGATGTTCTGCAATGTTGACTGTGAAAACAAAGCATACCTTTTGCATATAGCTGATCAACTCTTCTTTTTTCCTGTTAGCGGCGACCTTTGGCACTGCGTCCATGAGCATGCCCGCAGGGTTCGGCACTCCTGCCCCCTATAGTCTTCCCACCAGCTTTAGTGGCAGCTTCCAGCAGCCTGCCTTCCCAGCTCAAGCAGCTTTCCCTCAACAAACAGCTTTCTCTCAACAGCCCAATGGTAAGAGCTAACATTTGGCTCTCAGTCCACTTTAGGTATTCTGCGTGTATCATAATGTTAAGGTTTTGGCACAAAGACTTACCTACGATTTTGTAACTTTTTATGACCAGATTACAGATTTAGGAAAAAACTGTGACTATCTAAAGAATATCTTTCCTTTCTCATAATCTCCAGTGACTTTTCTGTACTTATTTTCTAATTGCCAGAGGGTACTGGTGCTTGCCAAAAAGAGAGAAAGCACCCCCAATGGTGTGTGGTCATGTGGCACTCTCCATTTCTTCACCCTGGCATGATTGTTAAGCATGTACATGCACCTGGCATGTTCCCTAAGCTTCCAGAACCAGGACTTGTACCACAATTGACCAATGGGATTCTGGCTCCCCATGCACAGTACTCAACAGCTGCATCATGAGCCAGCCATTGCTTTTGTATTTTATTTTATTTTTTTAAGTTTATTTTTTTCATGAGAGAGCAGAGAAAGAGATGGGCACCCCTAATGGTAGGTCCTCATACCATGATCCACCTGTAACCTGAATCACAGGCACATGTGTTGGGTGTGCTCAGGGAGATCCAGGACACAAATTCAGAACCATTTCTTCCATGTGGGTCTGTTTGCATTACTGCTGTGCCAGCACCTGGCCCCTGCCTCCTGATTTTTAAAGGAAACATGTATGTCTTTTTGTATAAGGTTTTCTTTTTTTTTTTTTTCTTAAATATGTGTGAAATGGCTTAATTTTCTAAATAGTTAACTGTAGTTGGAATTTGTTTTTAGGAAGTTGAAGGGAAATTTGCTTGATCATCTTTCTACCCATTTTTTTTATTTTGCTCAGGCTCACTGTCTGTTCATTTGAAGATTATTCTTTTACTATAATTACGGGCTTTTGTGGTTTCTTTTTGTTAGTCAGGGTTTAGATAAAAATTTGGAAATAGAGTCCATGAAGTACCAAAATATTTCCTAAGAAACACTGCAATATTCACTTAGAAGCCATCTTGTTATCCACACAACCTCTCTCATATAGTCAAAGCTTATCTATCAATTAAGTCCTTTGAGTGTCAGTGATTTACACAGCTAAGACAAGTTAGAATTAACCATTTCTGAAGAGCCAAATGAAAGGTCTTTTAAGACATGCCACTAGAAGTTTGTGTTTGGTATCTGAATGAGCATGAGACCCAGTGATTTAACTTCATTATTTTATTTTTGCTGCTATGGTGGGAATTTCTCTTAACTCTTTAGTTTGCCAGAGAGAGACAAAGTGAGAAAGTACCCCCCATTGAGGGAGGTGGGTCACACTGTAGTTCCTTCTCCATTTTTCTGTCCTTTTGAGATTTTTGTGGGCATGCAGCCAAGTGTGTTTTTCAAACTGCTGAGCCTGAGACTTGAACTGTGCAGTCAGCCATGTAGGATCCAGCTGCCTTACCCACTATGCTGCCAGCTGGCCCCTCACTGAGACTCTTAATATGAGGCTTTATAAGCATCAGATTCTTTTGAAGGATAATTGGTGGTTCTGTTTTAATAAGGTGCAGGTTTTGCAGCATTTGGTCAAACAAAGCCAGTGGTAACCCCTTTTGGTCAAGTTGCAGCTGCTGGAGTATCTAGTAACCCTTTTATGGTAAGTGATATGTAATTTTAAGTGCTTGATAAGTTGTTGCATTTTATTTTCAAATAAAGAAAAGCAGGTTGTGAATTCTCTTAGATGTTGTTTGCTCTGTGGAGTTCTACTGATGTGATGAGATTGTGTAGGTGAGACAGTCATTATGCATGTTTTTTTTTTTTTTTAACCTTACAAAAAGTTGATTATAAATCTAAACATTGACAGGAAATAAGCCATTTTATAATGTTAAAGTTGTCTGTATTTTGTCAAAATAACACTTAGAATTTAGTGAGCAGTATGAAAAAGGGTGTTGGAGTCAGAGACTTTCAATCACAAGTGCTTTTCTTTTTCTTTTTTTTTTTTTCAAAGATTTTATTTAACTTTGTGTATTTAAATTTGATGAAAGAGAGGGAGAGAGAGAAAGAGAAAGTGAGAAGGGAAGCCGCCAGGTCCAGGACTCAAACCATGGTCAGCCATGTGGGAGTCCGACGCCCTTAACCATGCCACCTGCCGGCCCCACACAAGTGCTTTTCTTAAGGGCCAAGTCCCTCCCTAGAATCTATTACAAGAACGGTATGAAGTAGTGGATATGAAAGACACAGCACAATGCCTGAGGCATTGATGTTTTTCTTACAGTATATTGACAGTAGTAAAGAAAATGTTATTGCTAATGATAATAAAATAATTCTTAAAGCGCAATGAAATAAGATTTAATTGAATAATGTTTTCAGATTTTTTATACACATCACATTATTTTGTCTTATGTTTTCCTTTAGACTGGTGCACCAACAGGACAATTTCCAACAGGAAGCTCATCAACCAATCCTTTCTTATAGCCTTATATAGACACTTTACTGGAATGAACTTTTTTTGTGGTCACATTACATCTCTCCGCCTCTTGCACTGTTGTCTTGTTTCACTGATCTTAGCTTTAAACACAAGAGAAGTCTTTAAAAAGCCTGCATTGTGTATTAAACACCAGGTAATATGTGCAAAATAGAGGGCTCCAGTAACAACTTTTAACCTGTGAATTGGCAGAAAAGGGTAGCGGTATCATGTATATTAAAAATTGGCTAATATTAAGTTATTGCAGATACCACATTCATCATGCTGCAGTACTGTACATATTTTTCTTAGAAATTAGCTATTTGTGCATATCAGTATTTGTAACTCTAACACATCCTTATGTGAGAAATGTTACTGGGGAAATGGACCAGCCACTTGTAAGGTGCTGTCATATATCTTGGAATGAATGACCTAAAATAATTTTAACCCTTGCTACTGGAAAGTTACAAAGTCAAAATTGGAAGGTTTTATTCATTCTTGAATTCTTCCTTTCTAAAGAGCTCTTCTATTTATACATGCCTAAATTCTTTAAAATGTAGAGGGATGACCTGTCTGCATAATAAAGCTGATCATGTTTTGCTACAGTTTGCAGGTGAAAAAAATAAATATTAGAAAATATGCTATTGTTTTTGTGTTCTTGCTGCAATGCCTTTACCAAAGTGGCCTTAAATATGAGTAGTGAATTGAGAACATCTTAAATTTTGTGGCCTTAAATATGAGTAGTGAATTGAGAATATTTTGAATTCTTACATTAGAATTTCAGAAGACTTCTAGTGACTAACTTTTTATAAAAAAAAAAAAAAAGGCCATGTAGAAAATTTATTAAAACTACTATGACTGCTATATTCAGGAACATGTCAGTGGTAAAGCATTTAAATGTAGCTTGTCATATTTACCATAATCCTTCTAATTTCTTTGCAACTTCTTGATTTTGTGAAATTTGTATATATGAATAATTCGCATGTATGTGTAATTACAATTTTTAAGAAGTATTTTGAACTCTCAGACTGCAGAAGGCTTATTTTAACTTTTTTTTTTTAAATATTGTCTTTGAATGTATTGGAAGCAGACATGCATTAACTGTGACATGATTGCACCTCAGTTTTGGGTTTTAATTTTTTCCTGTTTTATGGACAGACTGATATTATCTATAAGATATTTGTTTATGTTCATTTTTTGGGGAAAAGAAACTGGAACCCAATGTTACCTTAAAGTTATGGAATATTTTGTTTAAAAAGGCAATGATACTAAGTTTAGTTATATCTTTTGTTAATATTCAGATGAACTTGTTTAAGTATTTATGTACAATAATGCCTCACTTATCCAGTAATAGACTGATAGTCTTGTCAAACCGAACACAACCAAGAAACTTGGAATAGATTTTTAAAAAATGCCTCTGAGCAACCCATATAATTCACAAAGTCTGTATGTTAAAGCTCATGTTGTTTTTATGTGAGATTTTAATAATTTTGATAATTTGATTTTCCAGCCCATAGCATATTAGCAATTTGGAAGTGATGACTTGAAGGGAAGGAGACGAAAAAACTATGAAGAGCATACACTGTCCAAGACCATTTAGCATAGGGACAGTCAGCCCAACATGGAGGACATCATTCTATTGAATTATCTTCTGAGAATTGTCTATTATTAGGACTCTGTGTCATCAAGGAAAGGTGAAATTGCATATACGACTCTGTATTACATGTTTGAAAAATTTTGTCTTAAAACGATTAAAAATTTTTAAAAATCATTGGTATTAAAAGAGGCAAACATCAGTTTCCTCAAACAGTTTGTTCATGTGGAATGCCTTTGCAATGATGACTACATGAGTTGTTACTGTAGTATTTAAAAATCCGAATAGTGTTTTAGACTTGTTAAAGCATTGCTATCCAGTAACAGCTAGCTGGAAAGTGTGGTTTATCTGAGCCATTTTGAAAGTAAGGTGACTGGGACATCTCTGCCATCCTTCTGAGTGGTATGCCTCCTCCCTCAGAATTAAATGAATTCTGCACAGGTCTGGGTATGTTGGTCTGGATTCATTCAAAGTGTCTATATTTTGGGGGATTCCCTCAAACCTTTTTCTATGGAGAGAAAACTAAAAGTGTCTGAATATCTGTTTTAGACTTGTTTAGGTCCCAATCAATTCTATGTACAAGTTATACTAGAGGTACCAGATCATTATTCAAATAACCTACCAGGCCTTCCATTTGAGAAGCAAATTAAACAGCTGTTATCAAAATAATTTTAAGGACTTTTTTTCCTGGAAAAATTTGTAATTAAGTGGAAAGTTATATTGATTCATTTAAAATGATTACTTATAAAATCAAAATGTTTAGTTTCAAAAGGGATCCGGGTTTAAAGTGAATTTTCTCATCTTAACTGTTTTAAAGTTTAAAAAACTAATTTCTGTTAGATAATTATATTTGGATTTGGTTTATATTGATCATCAGAATTGTATTAAGTACTAAAAAAAGATAAAAATCTTTGCAAATGACAAGACTGAAGATCTTCAAATTTCCTGGGCTGCTTGTTGAATCAGATCTTTCCTGTAGAGTCTTTGTTCAGGAAAAAAAAAAATTGCCTTTCTTTTAGTGGTACACTTCATTGATATAATTTAAGGGAATACTTTATTCTCATTTTTTAAAAATTAAGAATATTTCATTTTCTTTTTGCGAAACTACAAGGTAGGTTATGACTTTTTCCCTTAAAATGAATTAGAGAGGGTAAACAGGTTGCTTCTTTAACTACCGTACTGTCTGAAACATTTTGGTCTTGGAACTGTGCTTCTTAAAAATACTGAAGATCCCCAAAGAGCTTTCATTTCTGTAACTTACATCTATCTATTAAAAATTAATACTGTATTAAAAATTAATACTGAAACATTTTTAAAACATGTTCATTCACTTAAATAAACCAGTTACTTGTTAACATAAATAACATTTTTGATGAAAAATCTTTTTTCCTAAACAAAAACTAATAATGAGAATAGGAACATTGTTTTATGTTTTAGTATATTTCAAAAATACCTGTCTTAATAGAAGCAGTGAGTTTCTCATACTGCTTTAGCATTCAGTTCTTTTTATAGTAGACAGCATGTAGACACTGGGAAACTCCACTGTACACTTGTGAAATCATGAGCGTGAAAAAAGGAATGTAACATCTCAGTATTATGAAAATAGTTTGACCTTGTACAGTCTTTCAAAGGGTCTTGGGGATTCACATGGGTCCATACCTCAGTTTGAGAACCATTACACTTCAAATTTTTATGTTTCTGAAACAGTATTTGTAGGACATGCATACTACCCTCTGAACTAAGTGGTTTTGTTTGCTTGATGGGAAAAACAAATCTAGTTGAAATTGCAAACTTTAAAAAAAATTTTTTTGAGAGGTTTTTGTTATAGGGCACGTGCGCTCACCAGAAAGAGAAAGAGACAGAAAATGAGAAATCACCCCTTAGGAGGGATGGCCACGCTGCAATCCCTTCTCCATTCTCCTCTCAGGATCTTGGGCACACACACACACATGCCTGGCGTGAGTTTAGGCCACCGGGTCTGGGACTCGCTCCGCCGTCAGCTGCATGGGAGTCCAGCAACATAGCCATTACACCAACTGCTGGTCCCAAAATTGCAAACTTTTTAACATTGTGTAACTACTTCAAAGTAATAGCGGTGGTGGCATTATGGGCTGTGGCTCATTGAGCCCTTTCTATGTTAACAGACATTTGCTAAATGCTTTTCATACATGATATGATACAGACTTTGAAGTGGACCCATAGTTTAAGAATGAAAGAAGAAAGACAGGTTAAACTAGTGACAACTTTTGCTCTGGGCAGCAAATACTTTGTTGTTGAAATAAAATGGTTTCACAGTTATGTGTGAGTAGATTCCTTTTCAATCTTAGAATTCCGAGAGTTATTTTCTATAGTCTATATACCTAATGAAAAAAATCTTAGTCACTTAATTTTGAGTTTCATAATTTGATGAAATCAGTGTACTGCTTATTCTCTAGAGTTTTACTTATTTAAATTTTGGAAGTAAATTAGTAGCGTTATTAGTGTAGTGTGTTTTAAACTGAAGACACATCTGAAGTATCAGCATGGCTCCCATATTGTGAAGCAGTCCACCTCTGTTAGTAGACTTTATGTCCTATACAGTTTTGGAATTTACTTTTTAGACTATGTTATTCATTTATTAGTAATACAAAATTAGCCTAGTGTATTGAGTTAACCCTCATTAGTTTAAAGTTTTCTTTGTATATTTTAAAACATAATGTCATTAATTAAACTTTCTATGTGGTTATATTTGAACAAATGATAATAAGACCACAATGTAGTCCAGGTTGTCCTGGTGAATGTTTAACAACCATCTTTCAGGAAAGAAAAAAAGTCTTGTTATAGGGTTTATTGGTATCTGTTTAGATATTCACATCTTGTCTGATTTTACCTAACAATCAGGAGTCATTAACCGCTGTTTAGAAAGAGATATAGGCAAGTGGCTCTCCCAGGCCTTTGCAAGCCAGCTCCAGTGCAGCAGCACTGATAACAGTTCTACAGTGTAGTTCATTCGTTAAATTTTTTGGTCATTTGCTTATTGTATTCAGTATTTGAAGAACCTTTCGTTTTATATTGGTAGTTCATTCAGCAAGCACTTGGACACTAGTTCATTTCTAGAAATACGTTAGGCACTGAAATATTAAATCTAGAAAAGCCTAAGTATTGTGGACTCTGGTTTTAGAGTCTGATTATTGCACTAGTACAGAGATTGCACATTCATAGCTTACACTCCGAATTGTCAGCAGTTCTGTTTTGTTTGGCCAGGACAGTGTTTTAAAAAATTACATTTTTAAATTTTAAGTGGGCCACCAATTTTCCACTCCGAATGTGCCTACTACTCCCAATTTTCTTAGTTTTCAAGGCCTTTGAGTTTGCAAATCCTAAAATAGATAATCAAGGCAGGAAGTGACTCTTCTGTATGCCATCTCTTACTCTCACTTTGGAGTCAGTTTGAGGTTTGAATTTCTATTTTCCAGTGAAGACTTTTGCCTAGAATGTATGTACCCTATAATCTATCCTTTTTTCTAATGCCAGTGGATAAGAATTGAATATATATTTAAATGTATTTTGAAACCTGTGCTTATCTAAACATACTGGGCCGTGGAGTTTAATGAAAATAGGATGTCATTATCCAGGTTTTTGTAAAAAGAAAAAGTGATCCTGGATGAAATATTTTAATTTGTAATTAAAATACCTGTGGATTAATTTTTCTTTATTGTTTTTTTGAAACTCTAAGTAGGCGTTTTCCAAGTTAGAGTTTAAACAATTAAAATAAGATTTCAACTCTAAATTTTTTATATTTATCCTCACTCCTGAAGTCTAGAGTACGCAAACACCAAGGAACCTTCTAATTTTGACTGGTCATTAGCTAAAAGCTGCAGGGGGCTGTAAACTAATCTTGTACAGTCAGTCTTCGTAGAATGCTTTTGGTGCAATCAGGTTTTTTAAAGATTTTGATGGGTTTTAGTTTATTACAAAATAGTAACATGTTTATGATTTTTAAAAATTATGTGGTATGCAAAGGACATAAAATGAAAAGTATGCCTTCCTCTGTTGCTATTCCTACACCCCAGAGAAGTTTTCATTTCTTATATTCTTTAGTAGTCAGAAATGTTACCATGTGTGTTCTATACCCCTATGCGTACCTCTCACTGTTCGCCTGTATTTTAAGTGTACAGACTTGTAACTTGTTCTTTTTGCTTAACTTGACCATCTCATTATTTTAATTTGGGTTCCAGGATTCTATTATATGGCTATCCCTTTGGAAGAATATTTGTTAATAGATTTTTCTACTAAAAGTATTGGTGGAATGAGAATATCCTTATACAAACATATATGAAGATTAGTCTGGATTCTGCTTGACTGGAAATTTTCAGTAAAATAGATGTCATTCTGTTTTGCAGTGCACCAGATGTTTAAATATAATCTGTGCTTCTATTTAAGAAATCCTTCCATTTAAAGAAGGAAAAAGTGATGATTTTAAAATATTGTAAAAGTCCTACACTTTTTAATTGAACTATGAAGGCATTGAGTTTGTAGAAAGATTGTGCAAGTGCACACCTATTCTGCACCATACCTTTTCCCTTGTTCTAATCCATGGTTCTTAGAGTATCAAATAAACAGTTTGGGACTAGTTTCCTTACAATTTCTTGGTATCATGCTTTTTCTTATCCATTTTAGCTTAGAATATACATTATTTTTGAGGTGAAAAAATAATGAGGTCGTCGGGAAAGTCACGACGGCCTTTTTACACAGAAAAACATGTCATGACTTCCCAATGACGCAGCATGAATTAACTGACAAAACCTATTTGGCACAGCCACATGCTTACTTCATTGTTAATTCAAAATTAGCTTCCTTTGCTTTAGAACAGATTTGAGTCACATCTCTAAAAGATCTGATTCTGACTTCTCACTGCGTGCAGAAATTTCTTAACATATTTACTATTAGTCAAGCACAGGATATGCATCCCAAAAAAGTTTGTTTTTATGAGGAGTACTTGCCCTGATTGATGGAAAATACTTTCACACGTTTAAGTCTAGGAACAGGGAACAAGAGAACTCACTGAAAAGTTAAAAAAAAAAAAAAAAGAAGTAGCCCTTCTAGTCATTAGGGCATATTTGGAAAATAGTAGTGTAAATTAAGATTTTCAAGGACCAATCTTAGTGCAAAGGGTGGTCTTAAGTATTGGATGAAAACAGGCTGACTTAAATACTCAATTCATCAAATACATTAGTGTGATGGGACCAGCAGTTAGCGTAATGGCTGTCGCTGGACTCCCACGTAGTCGACCACAGTTTGTGTCCTGGACCTGGTGGTTTAAACTCACGTCAGTGTGTGTGCGTGCGTGCCCAAGATCCTGAGAGGAGAATGGAGGAGAAGGGATTGTGGCGTGGCCATCACCCCAGGGGGTGATTTCTCACTTTCTGTCTCTCTGTCTCTGGCCAGTGCATGCGCCCTATAGCAAAAACCTCTCAAAAAAAAAATATATATATATATAATATGTATTAGTGTGATAGGTGAATTTGGTTAAGTTCCTGTTCATTGTGAAATACTATTGGAAGATTTTTTTTCCCCTTCAAAATAAAGGCTTCTGAATTTGTGTATTATTTGGGTATATCCTCTTTTCTTTAAATGGGTGTTACATAATAAGACATATGGAGTGTTGGAAGAGTCATCCATGTTTCTTTGTCATATGTTCTTGTAAGCAGCTCATGCATCTGCAAAGCTTAATTTTTTTTAATTCCATTATACACTAAGAACTTTTTGCACTTTGTCTTTTAAATGACAGAAATTCTGTGTTTTTTTTTTAAAAATGACATATTTGTTATTTAATTTTTAATATTAGTCCTTTTTCCCACAAAGAATGACTTTTATTCTTGAGATATGTTTGTAGATTGGCTGTAAGAAAATATTTCAGTGGGAGATACCTGTCTTACCTACTTGCCTATAGAAACTTAAAAGATACATAATAAACTGGTTCACATCTTTACACCCTTAATTTTAATTCCC